GTCTCCAGCCTCATCCGCCACCGCCGCTGCCACAAGGATGTGCCGCCCGCCGCCGGAGGCCCGCCGCAGCCGGGGGCGCCGCTTCCTCCGCTGGGCCTGCCCGCACCCCCTGCGGGTGTGCCCCCCGCAGCCGCCGCTGCCCCCCCCACACCCGTGTCCTCCGGTCCCCCCGCCCCGCCTGCTGCTGCTGGAGCTGCCACCGTGGCCGCCCCCGTTGCGGAGGGGACCGGTGCCCCCGCCGGGGTGGGCGTGCCCCCTCCCGCGGCAGGTGGCGGCGAGGGCCCGTTTGCCTGCCCGCTCTGCTGGAAGGTCTTCAAGAAGCCCAGCCACCTCCACCAGCACCAGATCATCCACACCGGCGAGAAGCCCTTCTCCTGTTCCGTGTGCAGCAAGAGCTTCAACCGCAGGGAGAGCCTCAAGCGGCACGTGAAGACGCACTCGGCCGACCTCCTGCGCCTACCTTGCGGCGTCTGCGGGAAGGCGTTCCGCGACGCCGCCTACCTGCTCAAGCACCAGGCGGCTCACGCGGGCGCGGGGGCGGCAGGGCCGAGGCCTGTGTACCCCTGCGACCTATGCGGCAAGTCCTACTCTGCGCCGCAGAGCCTGCTCCGGCACAAGGCAGCGCATGCCCCGCCTGCCGCCCCCGACGCGCCCAAGGATGCAGCGGCCTCCGTCCCGCAGCCCCCGCCCTCCTTCCCTGCGGGCCCTTACCTCCTGCCTCCCGACCCCCCCGCCACAGACAGCGAGAAGGCGGCGGCGGCCGCGGCGGCCGTAGTATATGGTGCCGTGCCCGTTCCACTGCTGGGGGCGCACCCGCTGCTGCTCGGCGGGGCCGGGACCAGTGGGGCCGGGGGGTCCAGCGCCAGCGTCCCTGGAAAGACATTTTGCTGCGGCATCTGTGGGCGGGGCTTCGGGCGGCGTGAGACTCTGAAGCGCCACGAGCGCATCCACACCGGGGAGAAGCCCCACCAATGTCCGGTGTGTGGGAAGCGTTTCCGAGAGTCCTTCCACCTGAGCAAGCACCACGTGGTGCACACTCGTGAGCGGCCCTACAAGTGCGAGCTCTGTGGCAAAGTCTTCGGCTACCCGCAGAGCCTCACCCGCCACCGCCAGGTGCACCGGCTTCAGCTGCCCTGCGCCCTGGCCGGGGCCGCGGGCCTCCCGGCCACCCAGGGCTCATCAGGGGCCTGTGGGCCGGGCGCCTCGGCCACTTCTGCTGGAGCTGCGGATGCCCTGAGCTATGCCTGCTCAGACTGCGGCGAGCACTTCCCTGATCTCTTCCACGTGATGAGCCACAAGGAGGCCCACATGGCAGAGAAGCCTTACGGCTGTGACGCCTGCGGCAAGACCTTTGGCTTCATCGAGAATCTCATGTGGCACAAGCTGGTCCACCAGGCTGCCCCTGAGCGCCTGCTCCCACCCACACCTGGTGGTCCCCAGCCCCAGGACGGCTCTGGCAGTGCCGATGCAGCCAGTGTGCTGGACAACGGGTTGGCAGGAGAGGTGGGGGCGGCTGTGGCAGCGCTGGCAGGCGTGTCCGGGGGTGACGACGCCGGCGGAACGGCGGTGGCTGGAGGCGGTGGGGGTGCCAGTTCAGGCCCTGAGCGCTTCAGCTGTGCCACATGTGGCCAGAGCTTCAAGCATTTCCTGGGCCTGGTGACTCACAAGTATGTGCACCTGGTGCGGCGGACCCTAGGCTGTGGCCTCTGTGGCCAGAGCTTCGCTGGTGCTTACGACCTGCTCCTGCACCGCCGCAGCCACCGGCAGAAGCGAGGCTTCCGCTGCCCAGTGTGTGGCAAGCGCTTCTGGGAGGCAGCTCTGCTCATGCGCCACCAGCGCTGCCACACGGAGCAGCGGCCCTACCGGTGCGGTGTGTGTGGCCGGGGCTTCCTGCGCTCCTGGTACCTGAGACAACATCGTGTGGTGCACACGGGCGAGCGCGCCTTCAAGTGCGGCGTGTGCGCCAAGCGCTTTGCGCAGTCCTCCAGTCTGGCAGAGCATCGGCGTCTGCACGCGGTGGCCCGGCCCCAGCGTTGCGGCGCCTGCGGCAAGACCTTCAGATATCGCTCCAACCTGCTGGAGCACCAGCGGCTGCACCTGGGTGAGCGCGCCTACCGCTGCGAGCACTGCGGGAAGGGCTTCTTCTACCTGAGCTCAGTGCTGCGCCACCAGCGTGCCCATGAGCCGCCGCGGCCCGAGCTCCGCTGCCCTGCCTGCCTCAAAGCCTTCAAGGACCCCGGCTATTTTCGGAAGCACCTGGCGGCCCACCAGGGCGGCCGGCCCTTCCGCTGCTCCTCCTGTGGCGAGGGCTTTGCCAACACCTATGGCCTCAAGAAACACCGCCTGGCCCACAAAGCTGAGGGCCTCGGGGGTCCTGGGGCAGGGGCGGGCACCTTGGCGGGAAAGGATGCCTGACAAGGAGGGTTTTCCAGTCCGCTGCTCGATCAGATGTGCCCTCCCGCACTCACCCCTCCCAGTTGCTGATCAGACTCTTACCCCTCCTTGCTGTTGCCCCAGCCATCCTTCAGAACTTCAGACAGACTAGCCTCCTAGAAGGCCCATGGCATCCAGACTCAAAACTGGATCGCTCCCATCCTGGACCTCTCTGGCTCTTCTCTTGTCCTGCCAGCCACTGAACCGGGTCCTCTGTCCAACCCCGTTTGTAACCTTCATCAGTGCTCCCCCTCCCTTGCAATACTCTGTCCCCCAATAAGCTTTGGTGGAGGATGTGGGTGTGAACTGCCCCTCCCCATTCCTTTGGGATCTGGTTGGAAAGTGGAGTATGAGTGGAGTCGGGAGGGCACCAGTGGGACGGGGTGCTCTTTTGGATTGTGGGGGTGGGGGTGGGGTGGCAGACGCGGCTTGTACAGAGCGGAGGATAATAAATCTTACCAACAGGGCTGCTGGAGTCCTTTCTTGCATCCCAGAGAGTGGGGAATTAAGCGCTGACAAACAGTTAAGAACTTTTGTTTCCCAAGGATTTTGATTCCCTACCACCCCCTGCTTCATGCTCATGCTCTCTGCGTTGCCTCATTCAATGGGTAATTGCTGAGGATTTACCACATCCAAGCTTTAAGTCGCACCTTGAGCAAAGGGAGAGGAACAAGACAGGTAAGTTTCTGTTCTTGGAAACTGACAGTGTGTGTAGACTCCTTCCCCTTCAAGATGTTTTTGGTATTTGTTCACTTGGCCAGTATTTACCAAAGCCTCCCCGCTTGCTGGGTCCTTCACAGAGGACACTGGGAACACTTAAATTGGACATACTTCTTGCCCTTGAGTTAGGGAGAAAAGAACCACTGCTGTGTTCCAGCACTGTACAGACTCGTGGTTCTTACAACCTCACCCATGGCACTGTCCCTCCAGGATGATTTGAAGGAGCTCCAAAAGCCCTTCCACAGCTCTCACTTCCATTGTTGAAACAGCGAGCCCTGTGCTCTTCAACGTGCGTTTAGTTATGCCATCCATCAGAGGAGAAGGCTGACGTCCTGGAGAAGAAAGATGCTCCAGGGACACCTAGTGAGTCTGTAGAACTGGGACTGCAGGATTGGGGGGGGCCTCAATACTGATCCTGGAAGACAGAGCTGGTTCTGGGGCACTGCCTGGGCAAGTCCAGTTTGACCCACATGAGGGCAGCAGCCGTGTATGGTCAACACACCATAGTGCTGAAGACCCAGCATGAAACAGACCATGTGCCAGTGCCCCAGGAGCACCACCATAAAAAAGTACATGGAATTATCACTGGGGGCTGAGAGCATGAAGGAGTCACTTTATCAGAGCTAGCCAAGCTTGCTGGAGGAGAAAGTGATGCCAGAACGTTAACAGAAGCCACAGAAGCTTGCCAGGTAATGTGGGCATATAATTCTAGGTGGAGGGTGTGGTGTCTCATTAAACCCAGCTATTCCAGAGAATGTTTCAAAGATAAGTGTGGCTGGAGAGGTTGGGGATGGGGGGCTGGATCATGAAGGGCTTTGGATTCGAATAGTGAAGCTTGGATGATCTTGGAGGCCAGAGGTTGGAAGGTGGTGGCTGCTGGACACAAGCCACTGACACACTTTGTTTAGCCCATGCATTTAAAAAAAAAATAAAGTTTGACTTAGTTGCCAACATTTGAAAATCAAAAGATTTTGCATAATAAACTAATGCAACTTCTGAAAAATTTGCCAGATCTAGCAATCCACTCTCACTCTCCCAGAGCTGAGTAACCATTGCCCTCTTCAGACAGAGCACACTTTCCAGTCTGTCACCAAGTTCTGCCATGCCTAGAAGGCCAACACTGGGCCCAAGTGTCAGTTGCCATGTGTCACCTCACCAGTGCTGGTGCTTTCCAGCCACCTCCCTCACTCTTTTACACTGTTACCCCGCTCCTAGAGGCATTTATGCATGGGATCCTTTGTTTTTTTTTTTTTTTTTTTTGGCAGGGGGGTGGGGGATCCTTTTCGAAAGCCACAAGGAGCAGTGGGCCCATGAGGCTGTGGTATGGAGACTGGAGACTACTACTGGGTATTCTCCAAATGTGGGGCCACTGTTGGCTTGGCCTGAAAGACGTGATGAAAAAATGTTCAGATTCAAGATACTTAACTGGCTCAACAGCAGGAAAGGGAGGAGGGTAGGGATTAGATGTGTGCATGAGGGACGAAGGTTTCAGGAACCTGTCCAGGTCTCTAGCTTGGTTGGTGAGGTCAATAGGAAACACAGCCCTTTCTTTGGGGGAAACAGAATGAATTGTTGGTATTCTGACCTGTCTAAGGGATATCTTGTGGGAAGTGAACAGGAAGGTGTGCAAATCCAGGGCTCTCCCTCCTTGAAAGGCATACCGATCAGAGGAATCCCTTCCTTTTGCCAGATTTCCTGACACTCACTGCCACAGCTAAAATAAATATCTCCGAATAGAGATCTAAAGGTAAGGAGAGATTTTGGAGAGATGCTGCAATTCACTGCCTGTGGCAAGACCAGTGTGTATCCTCTATCCCCAACCCCCAAACACAAGACTGACAGAGAAACCCTTCAGAAAGTCCTTTAATAGGAGTAGAGCTGGAGGCTCCCCACCTCCAGCTCCCAAGTCCTCCTCTCACCCTCACCACAGTGACTCAGTTCACCCCACCCCATGCCCATTGTACACAGGCCAGCCCACCAGTGCTGCCATCTCCCAACCCTTCCTTGGGTCAGGTAGTAAGCTGTTTGGTTCACATTGGGAGTGGAGGAAGTCAGAGAAATCTGAGGCTATGCCGAAGCCCTGGGGGCCATGGGCTCTGAACCTAAAGCCTTATGAGGGGGGACATTTGGTGGCTGTTTGCTGTCCAGATTTTTTTGTTGCCTCAGAGTCAGTGGGTTAAGGAGGGACCACGGTGGGAGCAGGGAGCAGCTCTTGGAGTCAAGTTTCTTATGCTCAGGCTTACATCCTTGAGGCTTGAGTGCTTTCGGCTAGGACTTGGGGACCCTCTGGCTTCAAGGTGATGGCATTCCAGAATCTCTTTATGGAGGACCTGGTGGGCGTCTTCTGCCTGAGGGTGGGTAGGCCCCCCAGGTTCAGTGCAATCCAGTGAGGTAGGCAAAAGATTCCATCCTGGTCCACCCTAGGTCCCAAGATAGTCCAGGGTTCTGTAGATGAAGGGCTGGCCCAGAGTCACCAGGGCAGACCCTGGTTCTACCCCTTCCACTCAACCCTGGCTCCCCATCTGTAGTGCCCAGGTTCTGTTGGGACACCCAAGGGGCAGGCAGATTGGGCAGTGAAATGCAGCCCATGTTCCTCACATTTAGCTGGGCATCCACAGGGCAGTGTCTGTGCCTTTCTGAGTCTCATGGAGGTGCTGTATGGATTTGTGGGTATCCCCAAACTGGTTCTCCCGCACTAGCTGCTCTTAGCCACCTCCTTAGCTTTCCTCACCTCTCCTGCCTCTGCTTCCCATCCACCCCTTCCCCTGCAATCCATCTTCTACTTCCTCTACTTCCTGTATTAATGCTCCCACGGCCTTGCTCTCCCAGCCTACTGGTCGACCTCCACCTTCACCTTGGCCGCCTCCTCCCGACCTTCTTCCAGACTCTTTTCTGGCCCATGCCCACGCCCACTCCCCGGCCCCTCGGCCCCCGAAGCCTGCCGGGTGCCAGAGTCTCCCGGCCCCGGCCCGTGGAAGTGGGTGCGTTGGTGCTTGCGGAAGTTAGAGGAGTTGTTGAACGTGCGGTCGCACAGGGCGCAGCGGAAGGGGCGCTCCCCAGTGTGAATGCGCGCGTGGCCACTGAGCACCGACGACTGGGTGAAGCCCTTGCCACAGATGCCGCAGTGGTAGGGCCGCTCGCCCGTGTGCACCCGCTCGTGGTCGCGCATGTCTGAGGAGCGGCGGAACGGCTTGGCGCAGAACCTGCAGGCGAAAGGCTTGCCCACGGCGGCGCCTGCAGCCGCCGCTGCCATCACCACCTCTGACCTCTCTGGTGGCACCCCGGGCCTCGGTGCTCTAGCCTCGGCCGCTTCAGGAGACCTCTGAGAGGCCCCTGGCTCCACCCCATGTCGGCGCTGGTGCCGCAGCAGAGGCGCCAAGGCCTTGAAAGCACGTGGGCACAGGGCACAGCGGTAGGGCCGCTCCCCTGTGTGCAGGCTGTAGTGGGCGCGGAGGCTGGCGGGGCCGGGGCAACTGTGGCCACACACATGACACCGGCTGGGATCCCCACCCTGCCCGCCGCCCTCCGCCTCCGCCAGGTGGCCATGTTCATGGAATAGCAGCTCAGACACCAGCCGGAACGCAGCCGGGCACAAGGCACAGTGGAGGGAGCCTGGCTCCGGTGGCTCGGGGACCAGCGTGGTGTCTGTCACCTTCACTACCTGGATCTCGATGAGGTCACTTGGGGGGGTGGCGGGGCGGCCATCATCTGGGACCAGGACCTGGGTGAGGGGGAGACAAAGACCAGGAGCCTGTGGACCCTTCCCAACATGCCCCCACTTATTAAAACATCCATCTCCCTGGAAGCACACTGCGTCCCTCAATTTCCAGATCCTGCTCTCCATCCTACAGGATCCTGCAGCATTCCTATCAAGACTTCACACCTTTCCCAAGCATCCAGCTGTTTCTCTCCCCTACCCCAGTTAAAAGCCAATTTTTTGGCTTGACAACCGAAAAAGCTTCCTGAACAGTACCCCTGTTCCTATGTCTGCTGGCTCCCCAAAGTAGCTCAAATGACCTTTTGAAAATGGAAATTAGATTGCCATTTTCCCACTCAAAACACTCCCATAGGGACGCCTGGGTGGCTCAGTGGTTGAGCATTTGCCTTAGTCTCAGGGTGTGATCCCGGAGCCCAGGGATCCAGTCCCAGATCGGGTTCCCTGTGTGCAGCCTGCTTCTCCCTCTTTATTTATTTAAATAAATTTAAATATTAAAAAAACCCCAAAACTCTCATGGCTTCAACTGCACTTAAAATCCAAAGCTGTCATCATATTATCCATCATGCTCTGGCTCCTGTTTGTCTCTGACCCCAGTGTAAATCTAAGCCAGCACACAGCTGACTTCTTTCGTCCAAATTTAGCTCTCCTTACCCCCAGTCTATCAGCTCACTTTTTATTTCCTTTATAGCGAAACACAATAAAGATCCGTTATTGTCTCTGTCCTCTAGACTGTGAGCTCCAACAGAATACAGTCCTTATCTGTTTTGTCTATGGGGCCCAAGTAAGAACTCAGGAGATGTTTGCTGAATGAATGAACGTCCTATCACTCTCCAGGTCTGAGTGGGTAAGTTCTAGAGTCACCTGGGGCGTCATCATTCCTCCCAAAATCCTCCCCTAGGCATTTGAGTCCTATCACTCAGACGTCTATAAAATCATTACCCCACTCCAACGTGGGTGCCTCCACCATAATTGCCCATCCTTCCCTTTCAGGGTCACCTTCTCAGCCTTCCAAGCAAATCCACCAGCCCCAGAATTTTTGAAGCCCCGCCCTCGGAATGCCCCGCCCCCTACTTACATATACCTCTCACTGGACTCATCTCCCGCCCAGATGTTCCACCCAACCCCCTCCTCAGGCCCCGCCCTCAAGACCCCGCCTTCCACCCTCATAGGCTCCTCCTTAGGCCACGCCCCTCGTCCACCCAAGAAGCCCCGCCCCCAGACCCAGAGACCTAAATACCTCCCCCGCCCAGCCCCGCTAGGCTCCGCCCAAGCCCCGCCCCCTGACCCGAGACCTCCTCCCGCCTCGAGTCCCCGGCTGAGGCCCCTTCTCCGCCCGCACCAGGTCCGGCGTCTCCGAGGATCGCGGCTCCGGGGCCGCTGAGCTTGGACTCGGGGCCTCCGGGCGCGCGGCGGCCATCTTGTGCCCAGGCCCCGCCCCCAGGCCCGCGGTCGCGGTGGGAAGAGGTGGGCCTCGGGCCTGCGTCAGAGGCGCCGCGCAGGCGCAGTGGTGGGCGGGGGGGCGTGGCCCTGCGGAGGCCGAGCCCCGCCCACCGGGGGAGCGCTGAGCGCACTTTAACCACCTCTCTAGCTGAAGTGGTTGTGGGCCAAGCAAGACCTCCCTTCCTCACCAGCGTCCGCGGGCTCCGGCATTAGCCGACTCTCGCCAGAACCCCACCTGTGTTACCTTTGTTCTGTTTTTTGTTGTGTTCCTACCACATGCGTTTGTCGCCGCCTCCGGGTGGCTACCCTCAACGGAGTGCTGGAAAGTTTACAAAGAATGTGAGCATTTTCGCAGGAGGCACTCGGCGAACAGCGACTGGCGGCCCTGGGAGTTTGCAAGCATCCACGGACCGGGGAGCGCACGTCTAGATAGAGAACCCCCCGACGGTGGGTTGTGGGAGCACCCAGAACAGAACTGGGGCCCCAGTGTGTGGCGGTGGACAAGTCACCACACTGCTCTGGGCCTTGTACACGTTTTCTCTACACGTATAAAACTGGAGCGGCGGCGTGAAAACCCAACAAGACGAGATATGGGCACACTTTGGTGTTTTGGGAGGAGGCAGGGTAGCTGATGCTTGAACATTACCATCCTTTCTAAATTTGCTGTTTCTCCTCCTTCCCTGCGGTGATTAGATTGCACTTTCCTGGGGCACCTGGTGGCTAAGTCGGTGAAGTGTCTGCCTTCAGCACAGGTTTTGATCCTGGAGTCCTGGGATGGAGCCCCACATCAGGCTCCCTGCTCATTGGGGAGTCTGCTTCTCCTTTTGCCCCTCACCCCGCTCCTGCTTGCTCTCTCTCATAAATAAATAAATAAAAACATATATATATGAGATATATATATTTATGAGATATATAAAAATATATATAAATATATATGTTGCAACTTTCCTTTGAAATATATATATATATATATATATATATATATATATATATATATATATATATTGCACTTTCCTTTGAAGTTAGACCTGGTGTGCTGGCTTTCCTTGGCCAGTGGATTATCAATGACAGCTCCCGGAAAGAGCCACAGAGCTCTTTAACAGGTTTCCTCCTGCAGATCTGTACTTGGGATCGGATGGTTGCAGTGGTTTCCATCATCCTGAGTTCTAGAGTGTCTACAGAGAACAGAGCCTGGTCCTGGGCCTCCTTGGAGATGTAGCATTTATGTAGCATTAAAAAACGTTTTATTTTGTTAAGCCACTGAGTCATTGAGGCTGTTATTACCATATAAGCTATTGTGTTTTTTAAATTTTTTTATTTTTTTATTGTGTTTTAAAAAATATTTTATTTATTTATTCATGAGAGACAGAGAGAGAGAAAGAGAGGCAGGCAGAGACACAGGCAGAGGGAGAAGCAGGCTCCATGCAGGGAGCCTGATGTGGGACTCAATCCCAGGACTCCAGGATTCCGTCCTGGGCCAAAGGCAGGCGCTAAACCGCGGAGCCACCCAGGGATCCCCCATATAAGTTATTGTATCTTAACTGATACACATAAGGAGTCTGTTACTTACATTTTAAAAGTTTAAACTGTTTCTTTTTTTAAAAAGATTTTAGTTGACAGAGCACAAGCAGGGGGAGCACCAGGCAGAGCATGAGGGAGAAGGAGGCTCCCCGCTGAGCAGGGAGGTCTATCCCAGGATAGACCAGATCCTACCAGCTGAGCCATCCAGGTGCCCCTAATATAAACTATTTCTATATAAAAACAAACAACTATCCATACTCACTAGTAAATTTAAAATATACAACATTGCAGATAACCATCTAACTTATGTACCCCTCACCCCTTCTCCTACCCTCCCCTGACGTTAGAGTTTGCATTTTCTATTATACCTATGCATGTCTTCCTCATTTTCCTATATATATGATATTGTTCTGTGTGCTTTAATTTTTTTTCTAGTAAGGGCCCTTGGGTGGCTCAGTTAGTTAAGCAGCATTTGGCTCAGGTCATATCCCTGAGTCCCGGGATCCAGCCCTGAGATGGGTTCCCTGCTCAGCCTGGAATCGACTTCTCCCTCTCTCTCTGCCCTTCCCCCATGTTCATTCTCTCTCTCTCTCTCTCTCTCTCTCTCTCTCTCTCTCTCGCAAATAAATAAAATCTTTTTAAAAATATTTTTTTGGGGACGCCTGGGTGGCTCAGTGGTTGAGGCGCTACCTTCGGCTCAGGGAGTGATCCTGGGATCTGGGATCACGTCCCACATCGGGCTCATTCCACAGAGCCTGCTTCTCCCTCTGTCTGTGTCTCTGCCTCTCTGTGTGTGTCTCTCATGAATAAATAAATAAAATCTTTGAAAAAAATTTTTTTCTAATAAATGAGGGGTGCCTGGCTGGCTCAGTTGGAAGAGTATGTAACATTTGATCTCAGGCTTGTGACTTCAAACCTCACATTGGGTGTAGAGATTACTAAAGAATAAATCAATTTTTAAAATTGTATTTTTTGGGGATCCCTGGGTGGCGCAGCGGTTTAGCGCCTGCCTTTGGCCCAGGGCGCGATCCTGGAGACCCGGGATCGAATCCCACGTCGGGCTCCCGTTGCATGGAGCCTGCTTCTCCCTCTGCCTGTGTCTCTGCCTCTCTCTCTCTCTGTGACTATCATGAATAAATAAAAAAAAAAAAAATTAAAATTGTATTTTTTAAAAAAGATTTTATTTATGTATTCATGAGAGATACAGAGAGAGAGGGAGAGAGAGAGGTAGAGACACAGGCAGAGGGAGAAGCAGGCTCCATGCAGGGAGCCTGATGTGGGGCTCTCAATCCCGGGACTCCTGGATCATGCCCTAGGCTGAAGGCAGGTGCCAAACCACTGAGTCACCCAGGGATTCCCCTCAACCTCCACGTTTAAAAGTGTATCCACTTTTATAAATATGCTATTTATAGTATTTTTATGAGATTGCTGTCTGGCTCAGCTCTGTAAGAGTCTCTCCCTATATCCTTTGTCTCTTTATATGGCAAATTTGTAATATTTTCTACCAAGGGAACAGAAGGGGATGTGCTCTCCAATGTGGGTGTTCAAAATTGTATTTGTAACATAAGAAACTTTTTTTTAAAAAAAGATCTTATTTATTTATTCATGAGAGACACAGAGAGAGGCACAGACATAGGTAGAGGGAGAGGCAGGCTCCGTGCAGGGAGCCTGATGGGGGACTTCATCCCAGGACCTCGGGATCACGACCTGAGCCAAAGACAGACGCTCAACTGCTGAGCCACCCAGGTGCCCCAATTAAGGAATTTTTAAATTTTGGATTGACAAGTATTTTCGTTTTGTCGTCAAGTTTGAGGAAATCTGAACGAAGTTTCTTTCAAGTTTCAGCTTCATTAGCTTTGTAGTGAATCCACTTGGAGGATTTTTACCTAGTTTCAAAGAAAACATATATGGCTTGTTAGGTGTGAAGGAGAATGCAGGTGGGTGAGGATGGGCATCCGACAGGAGCTGTGAGACGCCCTCACACCTACTTTAAGGAGAACCCACTGAACTTCTGAAAACTGGGTGTCAGGGGAGGCAGTAGCCTCCCATCCATGAGTCCTGGCCTGCTAGCTCTAAGCGAGCTTCTTCCACATTCTCATCCTTATTTCCCCTGGTGTGTCACGAGAAGGGCATTTCCTGACTTTCCTGTCTGTTTGCAGCGCGGTCTGGACAAAAATGAAACAAGAAGCAGGAACGGCCTCTGGACGCAGCAGCCTTTCTGGGATCCTGGCTCCTCCCGGGAGCCCCCAGCGCAAAGCGGAACCTTCCTCTATGGGCCGCGCGTTTCCAGCCGGAGCATTTTCGCGAAGGGCCTGGAGGGCACCCCTTCTTCCCAGGGTCTCTCCCTGGAAGTCGGGGGTCCCTTCTTTCCCGGGCCTCCCTTACAAGCGCTCTCCCAGTGGCCGCCACTTCCGCCGGGCCGGACCAGAGAGGCCGCCCCAGCTCGGCTCGGAGGGGCGCGAGAGGCCGACGGTCAGTATCGAGTCACTTAAGAGAAAGAGCGGACACGGTGTTGGCGGCCGAGCGGTGGGAACCAGCGGTGGGTGACGGCGGATAGAGCAGCCTGGGTGGGAGGGAAACGAGAAGAAGCGATGTGTAGAAGGGCGGGAGGAGAAATCAGAGAGAGGCCCGTAGAGACTGAAAGGGCGGTGGTGGATGGGGCGGAAGAAAGCGGGTGTGGGAAAGGGTCTTGGTGCCTGAAGGCGGGAACTAAAGCTGCAGACAGACTCTTGGCTGGATGAATGTAGATTTGTGTGTGTGTGTGTGTGTGTGTGTGTGTGTGTGTGTGTGTGTGTGTTGTTGTTGTTTTGTTTTGTTTTGCCTGCGTAGCAGCCCTTGAGTTCTCTCTGAGCCTCCGTTTTATCTCTTGCAAAATGGGACTGGTCATGCGTTAACCTCGCAAGGTGACAGTATGAAGGCGCCAAGCGTGATAATGCCTTTGAGCAGATGCTGGAAGATGTACGAGCTGTTGCTGTCGGTTTTCTCCAGGATGGATTCCTCTCTGCAACTCTGAGATTCTCGATGGCGTTGAAGTTAGCTAATTAAGCATGGACAGGGAAAATTTAGGGTTTCCTGTCTAATGCTTTTGAAATTTACATGACCACCACCCCTTCTCTAGGTTGGATCTCAATCTTTCTCATGTTTGCATTTCAGCACCAATCCCAACCTCACCCCGCAGTGTCCACCAGCCCAACAGGCCGACAGATCTTTCAGAAACTCAGATCTGATCTTGTCCTTCCACGGCTCCTTCTTGACCCAAGACGGAAATCCCAACTCCTTGCCTTGACATTGGAATCCCTTCGTGAAGTAGTGCCCAGCAAGCCCTTTGGCCCCCGACTGTTAACTACTCTGCACCCTGACCAAACACAGCATTCCATCCATCCGGTGGCTAGGTCTTGGGCTCTTACTGCAGCTCAGAGCAACCTTTCTGGGGGGAATATGGCTGTTTTTTTTTTTTTTTTTTTTCCACATCTTAATTC